GCGGGGCCGCGGCGCGGAGAGCGGGCGGGAGCCGCAGCCGCAGCGAGGTCGGCGGGCGGGAGAGCACTGAGGTGGCGCCAGTCGGGCCGGGTGCGGGCTTCTTGCCGCCGGTCCCAAGTGTGAGTGAGTGAGCGCGGGGCGGGGGGTGGGGGGGCTCAGGGCAGAGGAGGCCCGGCCCCTAGGGGCCCTTGAGGGCGGCGCAGACGGGCTGGGGGCGGCGGGTGGGTTGGTGGGTGGGGAATCTGCGGCCCGGGTCAGGGCTTAGGAGGGACCTGCCGAGAGACCCGAAGCTCCCTGGACAAGCGCGGGAGGGGGCGGCATCCGGGGAGCACCCGGCTCTTCCTAGCCGCGTCTCAGCGAGACCTTCCCCGGCGAAGCCCCCATTTGACAGATGAGAAAATTGAGGCTCCAAGAGGCCAAGTGACTCTCAAGGTCACACAGCGAGGAAGCGGGAGAGCCGGGGGTCGATGACTCTGGGTGGCTCCTAGGAAAAGTCTACCAGAGAACTCCATAGAGGAGCCCCCCGCTCCCCGCCCGCAGCCCGGGGGAGTATGTGTAGGGGCGGGGTACCTTCTGTGGGGCAAGGCTTTGCCAGCGTCCGTGGGTGCGGGATGTCAGGTCGCTGGGGCCGCAGGGCTGGCCCTAGATCGCAGATGAAGGGGGCGGGGGCGGAATGGGCGTGTGTGCGTACCCACCGGGTGTGTGCATGTGTGGGAGAGTGTACATGCGTGTAGGTGCACTGCCTTGCGTGTGTGCACACGTGTGCGGATGTCGCGCTGCTGTGGCCGCGGAACTCCAGGCTGGCCTGGCTCTAGTGAGCAGCAGGGCGTGAAGCCGGCCCCTCCAACGGGTTTGCATTCTGGGGTAGAGAGCTGAGTATGTGTGTCCGAGGTTTCCTTCATTCAGGTGTGCGAGGGCTGTGGGTGCCATTGTGTGTGTGAGAGAGAGTATGGGAGGTAATTGCCTGAGGCTCGGCTTTTTGGGAGCCTCGGGCATTCTTGCACCCCGATGTGGGTCCCTGGCCTCGGGTGTGGAATGAGTGTCTCTGCATGTATATTCCCGCCAGTGACTGGAGTTGCTGGTGGAGTCGTACAGGGACTCTCCACCCCGCACGGTGCTAGCGCCCCCTTCTGGGCACCCTACTCTGTGCTCGAGTGTGGACGGCCTGTGTGTGCACTCAGTTCGACTGTGCAGTATGGGGACCTGCGTCAGGGTCCGGGGATGAAGATAGCCTGCGGAAGGGCTGAGCCGGGACCCTTGGGGCCTTCACGGAGGAGGTGGCTTGGGAGCGCGCGGTTCCCAGGCTCAGGCTTCCCGCTGACGCCTCCGGGCCGCAGTGGGCTCCCCGCTCCGCCCTCTCCGCCCCCCCCCCCGCCCCAGGAATGTTCCTCTCCGCTCCAACCCGCCTCCCCGGTGGCAGGCCCCTGGGGGCTGCCACAGCCCCGCCTTCCTTTCCGGGGAGCCCGGGAGGGGGCGACGCGGGCAGGACGCCTGGGTTCCTCCCCCCTCTCATCCCAGGGAGAAATTCCTCTGAGGTCCCCTCAGGCTCTGGGTTCCCAAAATAACCCTGCGGGGGAAGGGAGGCTGTGAACGGAGGGAAGCGGGAGGGGCGCAGAACTGAGCTGCGGGGTGCTGCAGGTGCCTCTGGGGAGAGGACGTGAGGGGAAGAGGGCCTGCGGGGAGGGGGGCTGGGACACTAACCAGCCCCCCCCCCCCCCCCC